TATTAAAAATGGTAAATGTTTAGTAATTTTATAATAATATGAATAGAAAATAAACAAAAATGTTTTCAAAATTGCAAATATTCTCTAGGAAAATGAGTGTCTTACGTTGAATTTATCACACTGTATGTACAGTATATGTATACAAGTTGTATCACAAAGATTTGACAAATAAAATAACTTTTGTTCTAGTAAATATTTTTTAAAAAACATTTTTTTTAATTAATTTATATTTATTTGCATTATAAAAACCACGGTTCGTATTTCTCTCAACTGTTTTACTTTTATAAATTTTATTTTTATTTTTTTCGTTACCTACGCTAACTAACCCCTACCCGTCTTAAATTTTGACCTTTAATAACTTAAAAAATAATTATCCAAAACTGCCATAAATAACGCGGCGCTTAAAGCGCAAATGTGCATAAATAAATGTTGAAATAAAAATCTTAAAAATATTCACCAGAACAAAAATTATTCGTTTGTCAGATCTTTGTGGCACACCCTGTATATTTTGTGTTTTGAAGGATCATTGTGCTCCAGTAAGGTTCACAGCCGGTCGGTAATAATGCATTGGGGAAAAGAAGGGTCGAACGAGGGTTCGACCCCTGTTTAAACATACTATTTTTTTTTGTTGAAAGAAGGACCCCGTTTGTCGACAAAGCGAACAGTTGGAATAAAATAATATGTTAACGTTAGTAGTTTTTGGGTAGAGGGTTTTAACCATTATTCTAGAGCAAAAAATCCTATTTTTCCCAGGCCGACAACCTTATATTCTTATTGACACAGCAATAATATGTATTTTAGCTACTATGATTGTCTAACTTTCAAGTACATACATTTTATATTAATCTAATAATCTAGAGTTAGTGTAGAACTAGTAGTTTGTTTTTATATCAATTGGGAACATACAAATAACATTTAAAAAAATATAAAAACATTAAATATAACAAAACTACACGCAAATTTTAATAATATAAGTACACTGGACAGTTTTAAAAACGATAAAAATTAGAAGGCTGTCCAGAATAGCACTATGCTTTTATGAAAATCCTGTTTATAAAAGCAAAACAATTATCAACAGTCTTCTGTTTAGAGTGGTGTAATGTTGACTGAATTCTAGATTTATTGAAAGAAACTTTACTTAGCAGCTATATAGAGTAGGATAAATAGAACGCTGTTAAACCGTGAAGAGTATTAAAAATTGACAAAAAAACAACATGGTCAATTGCCAATTTTAAAATTACAATAACAGCAATAAGTTAAACAGAATATGTAGCTGTAGCTTGTAGGTCCCAAAAATAAAAATTAAAAAATATATAACAACGTTGTATTGTGTTATTGAACAATTTTATAAGCGTTTAATGAATGTTTTTAATCGTGGAAAAAATACTATGTAGACAACTTTGTCGGTTTTGTACTTTAACCAAAAACATAATATTATTATACATAAGTATTATGTTAAAGTCATCAAAATTGAATTTATAATGTAAAAATTTGTTTTTTCATGTTACCAAAAATTTGAGATTTTTTCTAATAGTTTTTTTCAAAAAGCCGAGGAAATTTTACATAATATGTGTAAATTTCAAATTGGGATCTCCATAAAAACAAGAGGTCAAAATTCATATAAAAACGACCACAGTATTAAAAATAGTTAAAATAATTATGTGTAAAAATTAGGTAATTTTCCCTTTTTTTTTAGAAAGCTGAGATTATTTTACATAAAAAACTTATTTTTAATAAATATATACATATATATATATATTTTTTTTTTAAGGCCGAAGATACGATAAAATAATGATAATGAAGAAGTAGCAAGGCAAAAACTCAAAATACTTTTTACGCCCATGACCAAAATAATCGAAAAAAAAATTGACTGGTGGTCTGTTCAAACGTTTGTTCATATTTGGAGTTTTGACCCATATGGAATATTTTATTCACAACAATTAGGTAGGCATCTAGACATAATAAAATATCATACTCATATATTACCTATAATAATGAAATTTATCCGGTGTAGGTACCTATAAACTATAACCTACAGGGTATTTTATTCAGGTAGGTAGTCGTTGGACAACAATGACCGTGTGTGTAGGTAGGTACAACCGAACACTCTGTACTCAATTGTATAGATACCTAGTCTATAAGAAATTTGACCCTTTCACACGCCAGTTGGCATTTCAAATTCCAAAGAAACTTAAAAAAAAATTAAAACCTATAATATCCAGGTATGTTACAACATGGCATCCACGTGGAAAATGATTATTTTTTTTTTCAGCGCATCAAAATAATAAAATATATTATATTCTCTTATATAAAAACATTTTTCCATAATATTACCCATTTCGCTTACTTGAATGACGACCTAATCGAATAGCCGGTTCAGCATTTCTAAAATAAAGACTCAAATATTTTAGGTGGTTTAGTTTATATTTTTTCAGGTTGGCAAATATTAAATTTATTGAATTTTTAATTAAATACATTTCTAAATTTAATTATTATTACAACTTTTATAAGCTATTTATTATTCATTTAGACACAGATTTTTTTGAAATTATCATTTAAATTGATATTTCAATATATAGTATTAAAATAATAACCAAGTCTGCACAAGGGTAGTTAATATAATAGTAACTTCTGAATCCATTTACATGGCGAGGTCTGTAAGTTTGTATAGTGAACTAACACAGTAAATTCATTTTTAGCAATTAAATAATAAATGTATGTTTAATAAACGGAATTGCTAATAATATAATATTGTAACTCTAATTATCGTGGTCTAAAAATTAAAATAGGGCAAGAATTCTTATTAGAAAAATAATCTTAAAAAATAAATATTTTTGAAACGGTCAGACAAGACTCGTTTTAACTTATAATACATCAAAGTTCTATTGTAGAATTATAAAACGGCTCATTTGTTAAACCGTAGGTACAAGGACAGGATGTAGGGACAGGACCCAATCTAAATAATACACTAATTGACAGGCTCTTTATAGTATACAGGGTGTATCAGTCATCTAACAGATTTTTCATACAATTTATATGCGAAGCTGTCGGATCATTGTGATACACCTATATATGCCTAGCCCATTGAACCATGTAAATTAAACCATCAAAAGGAACGACCGTCACAATAGTGTCTCTCTTAAGATCTAAATTGATTGTAATGCTCAAGTTATGCCAGCCAAAGCGGTCTTAATTGAGAGTGAAAAAAGTACTACTTTAATAGGATATACCTATTTAATGAATCCGAAATTGGCCTACTATTTTCATTAGCATGTACATTTTTGAACTACAATACACAAAATAAAAGTGTATTTGTGTATTGTATAAAATTATTTGTGAAAAACAAAATTAAAATTTTTATTTTGGTTTAAAAAAAAAAAATTGTAAAAACTGTTAAGTAATTTTTAGATTAGTTCTAAACACAAATACTCTATTTGAAGTATATTTTAGATAATTATGCAACCGTATCGAACATGCTAAAAATAATACACAAAGCGGTTTATTTTACATTTTTAGAGGTTATTTGAAAAATAACTAAACGTGCTTGAAAAAATCTAAGGCCCGAATCAGATTTAGCAAAAAAAAAATAATAATAAATGAATGTACCCATTTTAATTCTTGCTCTATAAAATACATAAGATAACCCCCTATAAACAATTTGATAGGGTAACACTACAGATTTTGTTTGAAGATAAAGTTTTTGTATTTGAAAGTTAAATAACTATTGCCTATTTGGAAAAACTACTTTTTATAGTCACTCCATGCCAAATCATCTAATGTGTGTGCGAGTGGATTTTCTAAATGAATCAAAATTTTATGTCCATAAATCGAACTTCTTTGGATTAGGGAAACACATTTTTTGCCTCGATAAGGACCTAACACCTGTAATTGTCGTGCAGTAATATTGTTTAAATAAAAGCACATTAATTTTAAAAAAAGAATAACACCTAAAGCCATTCAGTAACCAGGTCTAAAAAATATTTGATTATTTACCAATAAATGACAATTTATGTGTGGAACAAATATTCAAACTCTAAACATCTAACTTTGTTTTTAATTTGTTCAATACTTTAATTATTATAATCATGTAATCACTCAAAGTACATAATGCCATCTTTTCACTAAATGCTTGCACATATAACTCATAAAAATACCTGTATACTGGTTATTTTATTTCATTTTATCAATCGTTATTTCTATAAATTAATATTTATGAAAAATCATTCGAACCTTAACTATTATGTTTTTTACTACATTCGTCTTTATAAAATCGGAAATCATTATAGTTTATAATAATTGCTCAAGTTAAAAAAAAGTGTTTTAAACAATTTTAAGACAAAAGTAAATAAATATTTTATTTGGCATTCGTATTGACACAAGCTTAAAAATACAATTAAATCATGCAACACAAAAAATTGATAGTATCACTTAAAAATAACACAAGGTGTATTGTATACAATTAATATAAAAGTTACTTAAAAGAATAATAATAACTCGTTTTAATAAATTTGACCTGAACAGATGGACCGTTCGTACAAGCGTAGAGTAGAAATTAAGGTGGGATTAAAAAGAGTATGGATACAATTTATTTATTTTTGGTACCACTCAGGAACATCTAACCAAACTGTAGGTACTATCTTATACTAAAAAAGGAAAAATATTGGCACATTCAATAATAGCAAGTGACAATAATTGATGTAAAAATATAATTATTAGTTGGCTTACGAATAAAATTGAACAAAAAATATAATGACAATATACAAAATAGATAATTGACTGAAAAAATATACATTTGGACAACTAGTAAAAATACAAATAATATTATGACTAAAAATTGATGTACATTATCGACCAAACGTCAGTTACGTCATAAAAAAAAAAAAAATTGATAAGTCAAAAGATAAAAAGAGGAAAAAAGTTGAATGTGCGATGGATGACGTAGAAAAAAATTCAAATATAAATTCTGAACACATTATAAAATACATAAAATTATACTTCACTGCTCAAATAATTTAGTTTATAACAAAATAGGAAGAAAACTAAGAATTGAGAGGATGAATTTTTAGTGATGTGAAAAATAGATTATGTTAACGATACTTCTGTCTCGCTCGTATCAGTTGCAGGTTCGTAGTCATCGTTGGCAAAATATTTGGAATGTTGCTGTTCTAGGTACCTGAAAACAAATATTTTAACAAAGACATTTTATAGAAAGGTTGTCAGAAAACAGTGTTGATGTTTCATAACATAAGAATAAAATTATATTTTAGACCCAAATGTTTTTTTTTATTTTTTGAAAAAATAACTAAACAATTTACCATCAAACTATAGTCGATACCTACGTACACGACTGCTCAATTTGAATTGCTCGTCGATTGTTGACTAAAGTTGAGATTGAAACAAATGTGGCTTTTTTACGGATCAGTTTTTAAAAATGTAAGCTACTTCACATTGTTGCTTCAACCCTACCACCATTTATCTTATTTATCTAACTCTGTACTATACATCCTCAACGCATTCTGTTGTTTACACCTTGCATAAAGCGATGAATCTATTGCAGAAGTTATGTTTGCTAATAAATCATATCTCTAATTATCTCAACATATTCTGTCTAATTCCTACTGAATCGCATGGCCCTCTACGATAAAACACGAGTTATCACTCACTTAACCTTCTCACTTAGCCTAGGGTGACCATACGTCTCGTTAAAAATGGGATTGTCCCTTTTTGGAGCTAAATATTCCCTTGTCCCACTAACTGACTTTCGACTGGACGCTTTTTGTCCGGTTCTTAGAATATGGTTAGGTTCTCTCTTTATCAGCTATCTTATCAAAATATTAATAAAAATAGAGTAAAAATTATTAATTTTGATTTAGATTTCGAAAGTGTGGAGAAAGTAGTGGAATTAAACGCTAACTATTTTTAAATAACTATTCAAAAAAAGATTTTAAAATAACTAAAATAGAATTTTGGGTAGAAAAAAATATGACTTTTTCTATGAGAAAAAAAAGAAAATTTCTAATTCTTGCCACTCATTTTTACAAAAAAAAAAATAAAGATGTACTTATTGAACTGTATAAAAAAAAATGAAACTTGAAAGTTAGTCAGTGAACTATTAATACAAAACAAGAAATTAAAACGATTTTTTTATTAATAAATTAAAGTAATTAAAAATAATAATACTTATTATCAAAATATTATTTATAATAATAAAAATTGTTATTATCAAAAGGTGCAAAAAGTAATTTTCAATTTTTTATTGAAGCTCTTTCTTTAGAAGTTTGGACAAAATAGTGTTCCGTTTTTTTTTTTATTATTAAAAATGATAACCATAGATGAACCAGCAAGTTCATTTGATTATTATTTTATATAAACCATAATAAATATAATAGTTTAACTAAATGGATCGTTAAATTAAAAAAAAAAATTTAATTCTTACTTGAAAAAATCATTTATGCTATCAGCAATGGAAGAGAGCTGGTTGTCTTCGGTCACAAACTTTGGTCTTAGAAATTTTTTCAAATTAACTGAAAAATTGATTAAAATCCATTAATATGTCATCAAGTATCGAATACTAAAATACATATAGGTATATGTATAAAAAATATAATTAGGACACTACAAAAACACTAAAAAATTATGTTTATTAGGATAGCACTTCGTGTAAGACCATATAAAATGTTATTATCAATGTTTGGAAAAACACTTCAAAAACGGTTGAGTGTAAGGAAGGTGTTCTTTTTCACTAAATGAGCTCCTGAACGCGTTTATAAGGAATTAATAAAACATCATTTCGCTAACATCAAAGTCAATATTTCATACGTACCACATAGCCTTAGTAAATAAATGGGTCCATAAACTGTACACCACAAGTCTTCCGAATAAATGTTTTTATATTTGAATTGTAAACTGTCAAGTCTTATTTTTTCTGATAACAGAGCAACAGCCTAAAAGAAAAATATTGGTAAAGTTATTAAATAAAAATTCTCATTACATAAAATCTCATCAACGAAAAATAATTTACTTTATCGTGCACTTCATTATTACGTTCTTTCGCATATAGCAGCGTCTGTATTCGTGAATTAAAATATTGAATAAAAGTCGATCCAACACACAAAGCTCTTTCCCTAAAAATATCTTATTATATTTTCGACACTATTATACTATTAACTTTGTAAGAAAAACAATAATTACCTAACAAATATTGTTGATTTTTGTTTGGAACCGATATAACCATCAATGAGATGCATAACAGTGAATTTGGATGGAAACTTTAATTGCTAAAATATTTTACACACCATTATTAGGCAAACAATTTATTAACAAAGTGACCAAATATTATTAAAATGTTTAAAACACCTTGTTAAATACCTTGTTAAAAACGTTTATCATATTATAGTCGTAGGACAATCGCCGTTTCAGAATTGTAGGCACATCAAATTTTAGTTGTTTATCGTATGGAGGCTAGAAAAATTAATAGTTTTGTTGCAGACAAAGTCAAAATCAAAATAAATAACTGTTTGGCTGTATATGTACATCCGTTCAACACATACATCAATTATCAGCCATAACAATGTTCTAAAGATTATAATAACAATTTTCTGTTAAACAAAATATTTATTAAGATAATAATTTAATTATAAAAGGTATATTACCAAAAACTCTTGTATGGCAGGTAAGTTATTAATGTTATTTTCTATTAGATCAACAGTTCTGAATGCAACCAAAACCGGATTAGAAGATGGTTCTATTTAAATAAATAAGTAAATTAGTAAAATTTGGATTTTTTTCCGGAATGTTTCAGGTCAAAAAATTTAAACTTTTAATTTCAATTAATTACCAGACTCTTCAGTAGCCGAAGATGGAGCATCAGTGGTTTGGTTTACTTCAGTATTTTTTTTACGTCTGCCAACTCTTCCTTGGTTAAAATGTTTTTTAAACTTGCTGAAAATATTACAAAAGTATTTATTTAATTAGACTGATCGATTCATGTTATAAATAATGTGAAAATTTAAAAATCACTCTCTCTCTCAAAAAAAATTAATATTATTGGTAAAATTGACGACATAATAATTGCATTCGATACAATATTAATATTAAAACACATATTTACTGTTGGTCTTGGAGTGCTTTCATGTGGTCAAGCGAAAACTCATTTACAGACAAAACACGATCATCGTGTACCCATTCATCCCATTTCGTTTTCCACCCTATGTAATGAATGTAGTAGTTCAATTCACCGTCAGGTCCAATTCGTCGTTTTAAGCACTTTGCTTCATATAGCATAGATCTGTGGTAACACAGCACTATGTCATCTGTCAAATAACAAACGATTCAAATCAATTTGGCGTAATTGTGATTTTAAAATTTTTATTTATTTATAATGAAAAGAAATATTGCATATATTTGTATAAAAATGGTTGTTGCAGCATTCTGGTTTTAAATTTACTCACAAAAATCTTTTCTTTTTGTTAGATTTCTATCCAATCAGTGCATATTACTCAAAATTTTAACAATATTTGTTATTACCTAATTCATATCATCTTAACTCACTTTCAACAAAACTCACCTACTTTTTATAAATAATGGCTACTCTTTGTTCACTTTTCATAAGATCAAACGCTACTGCTGTTTTCTTGACCTCGTTCTCTGTTGTATCCCCTGCCTGTATTAACTATTCCCTAATCTCATTAATTATTGCTACTACAGATACAAACTTAATGCTACCTCTTAGATAAATATACTCTACTTAATTTTGTCCAGCAGATCCAATGTAAAATATTTAATTTAGCTACCTACTTTCAATATCTCTAAAATGTCCTCATTCGCATTTAAATTTCATCACCGTCAATTTTGAATCACCTTATTAGTTTACTCGGGTAAAAAATAATAATACATAAAAGTAAAAAAAAAAAAAAAGAAGAGACTGTAATCGTAACTTACTTTTATCGAAACGGAAGGGATCCACAGACATTATCGTACACGGCGGATGAGCACTATAAGTTAAAATTAATATCAAACTCTTAAAAATAAATTCAAAATTAAACTCGATCCAATTTCTAAGGATTTAGCAGTTAAATTATTATCCTAAATACTCAAGGCTCGTCTACTAAGCAGTCGAGTCGTTTGGTAAATAACAACATTGTGAAATTATGATTTTACTGAGGCGTCGCTTGTTGTGTTATTACAGTGCGGGCATGTCCGGCACACAAAATATCTTTTATCTATATTACCATTGTGTAGACGCCGACGCTAAATACAGATGAGTGATGGACATTGGCCAAATTTAAAGTGTAAAACAACGATAATTCGTTAATAGCTTAAACTAATGACTCGACATAAGAAATGGTGAAATTAATTAACGGAAAAAAACCAAAAGGTTATACGGGAATAAGACCTCTACACCGACAAGAAGTCGGCATCACTGATGGTCGGACGCGTTGGGACGAAAAATTGATAAGATGATAACATTTTCCATTTGAATATTTGATTGCTAATGGAAGCAATAAGACTTATGACTCATGAACAAAATATTTACTAATTATACCTAATAGTAGGAGATAATTTCATATTTTACTTTTTTTATTATATATATATATATATATATATATATATGTGTGTGTGTACCTGTAGTATGTACTATAATATAGTATACTAGCTGTGTTGCCCGGCTTCGCCCGGGTTTTGCAATATGCTCTTTTTTTTTTTAATTTGATCCAAGCTAACGGAGAGTTTTTATTGTTTTGAATATACGCGTTTTCTTTTTACACTCTTAGGGGTTAAATTTTGGAAAATGTGTTAATAGATAATTCATTATATTTTGTATTACAGAGTATGTATGCTAATGGAGATTATACCTCTATTGGCTTGCATTTTATTATAATATATCATTGGTCAAATAAACAAATACTTATTATTACTGCAATGATATACTTACATATTTGTATTTTCCACAGAAAGAGGAATCTCTAGAGAACTTGAAGAAGTCTCTGGAACGACTAGAGAATATTTTTTTTGCATTCTATTATAAGTTAAACTTTCAATGAGTTGGGGTCTCGAGCTTTTTTTTTTTGCTTTTAAATGGTCGGCCATGTTTTTGTTTGCCGTTATTTTTTAGAAAAAACCACACTTTGCGCTTTTACCGCTTTCACGTTTCACTTCAGGGACGCAAATGGTAATGACATATAACATGCCTAAACATTCGTTTTGGTAAAAACGCAAAATGTATCTAAATTTAAGTATAGCAATCTACACAGTACGACCTAGTCACGAAGTAACAAATAATTCTAATATCATTCATAAATAATAATAAAATAATATTATTATCTTGTATATTCTTGTTCAAAATAACAAGCGACTTCAGCGGCTACCTGAAAACCGGTTTTTCCACGTGGCATTCAGATAGCCACCGACATCGCTTTTTATTTTGAACGGTGTATGTATGTACCTAACCGTAAATTCGGCCGATGGGTTCATAATCGGTCGGATAGGTAGGTAGGCGTATGACAATAGTATTGTAAACTGAGAACATTGTTGTTTATCGCACCAGACCGTCGCACGTTGCCGGTTGCCGACGTGCGACGACAGTACGTGTACAATTTATATTATTTTATTGCAACCGATAATAGTGGCGCGCTCCTACGGAATTTGTCGATAACTCATTGGGATGTTCCCCCTTAAGGGGCCTCTACACCTGCGTTTTTTTAGTCGAAAACAACTCATTCTAATTCAAACGTGTACTGTTCCTAAGAATACGCCGATTTAAGTTTTGAAAAAATATTTGTATTCTTCAAAACATTTTCAAGGCATCGGTCTTGGCACAATTTTAAAATTATTTTTAGTTAATTAATTATTTCAGTTTAAAAAAGTAAAAAAATTGCATTTTTTTTACATTGAAATAATTAATTAACTGAAATTAATTTTAAAATTGTGCCACGACCGATGCCTTGAAAATGTTGTGAAGAATTCAAATGTTTTTTTAAAAATTTAAATCGAAGTATTTTTAAGGACAGTACGTTTGAAGTAGAATGATGTATTAAAGTGAAATTTCAATTTCAAATTTTGTGGCTTCAAACACAAGTTGCACTATTTTAACGGCAACTACGCATGAACGATTATAGTTGAGATTATATTGTTTATTCTCACAATATTCAATCACTATTTCCACCAGCCGATCGTTCTGACTACAAGGGTTGGCCGTCACAAGTGCCTCCCGTTCTAAAATCTAAATCTAATCTAAAAGTTTATTTCTTGGGGCAAAATTTTGAAAGTTCACTTCTTCCCCTTCAAAATTGGGAAAACACATAAAAATGTACATATTACTTTTTTTAAAATAGTCGATTTTGTTCCAAATTTCTATGGAATATTCTTCGGATAAAGTACTATACAACGTAAACGGAAAAACGTTGACAAACCAAAAAAATATCTTTATATATTAAAATTGTATTAATTTATTACTATAGTTATAATCAAATTTTCATCGATAACTGCTAGTCTGTTGTTATTATATTTGTCAAAAGTAAGTAAGTAAACTCGTAATTTTTAATGTCTAGTAATAATCATTATCTTCGTGCCTCGGTATGTCTGTGTATATACTCCTACAGAAATAATATAAATGCGACCCCAGATACAATTAAAGTAATATCATTTACCTGTCCGCGCGTTAGGCGATAAAATTTTAGATAGTATGGAATCAATAATAGTGGTTACACCGCAATACGTCGCCCGACATAACGTCGCCGGACAAAAAGTCGACAAAACGTCGCCGGACAAAAAATCGACAAAACGCCGCCCCTAAAAAGACCGCCTCCCAGTAATGCCAACACTAACAATATGTGTGTACAATATACGATTATTAATGGTGCTAGTTGTGCTGCCAGCATGACATGTTATTAAGGAGTAAATAGTAATCATCCATCTGATTTGATCATATTAATTTTTA